CCCCCCCCCCCCCACCTCACCCCCCGAAAAAATAAAGATGGGGGGTTGGGGGGGGGGGGGGTAGGGAGGAACTTGAGCAACCATGGATTTTGGTATCCATGGGAGATCCTAGAACTGATTACGAGGATTGACTGTATTCTTCCTTTGAAGCTAATGGCCTTTGTATATACTGAAAGGCAGCAGAGCTAATAGTTGGGCAGAATCAAAAAGAAAATATTGTGGTTTCAAGCTTTCAAATATCTGGTTTCAAGCTAGTAGAAGTGAAGTATTCTTGGAATGCAATCAATATCTATTAAATTGAACCTTAAAATAGCCCCCAAAATGTAACTACCATCCTGTTTTAGAGGCTATACATACTCTTCCTTCTGCAGGAGGTAAAAGGTTGAAGTTGGGATTTGCATTAGAAGTGTTGGAGCTTTCTTTACATGGCTCTGTAGAGAGGGGAGGGAAAGGAGGCGGGGGAAAGAATGTTACACCTGTTCTTGTACCAGCAGGTCAGAGGCTTCTGGAGCACAAGGTCATAACAGGACAAGTTGTTCTTGTGCTTCTTTATTCCCAGTCTTTGCTCCCCATAGGGCAGTAGGATCTCTGGCTTTTAGTAGGACAGCACCATTCCTCTTTCTTCTCTTTTTTTCTTTTTTGGTGGCTGGCCAGTATGGGGATCCAAACCTGTGTCCTTGGTGTTATAAGGCTATGCTCTACCTGTGTCCTTGGTGTTATAAGGCTATGCTCTAACCAACCTTTTTCTTTTTTTAAGGCAGGGAACTATGGGCATAGTCTCATCAGGAGTCTGATGGGTGGGTAGGTTTGTGACATCCTGACAGCCAGCCTGATATTATACAGAACACCTTTTGTAATACATTTGATGTTTTCAGTCATGCCTTTTTGTTTGGTAAGCAATGAGCTCTTCTAAATCAGAAAAAACAGTGGGAGTCTTCTCTGTCTTTTCTGTGATCTCTATCTGTCCTTGTTTCTGTGAATTTCTCTACCATTAAGTTCTATGTTAGCTTTCAGTTATACTAGTGTATTTCTCACAGAATCTGTCCTAAACTCGTATATCTGATGATCAGTGACAATCTTGCCAGATGAAAGGCAGAATGCTGACTCAGCAATTCCAACAGCATTTTTTAAAAAATATTTTATTTTATTTTGTCGATATACAATGTGGTTGATTATTGTGGCCAATTACTAAAACCTCCCTCCCTCCTCCCTCTCTCTCCCCAACAGCATTTTAAATGAGCTTGAGGCAAACTGTCAAGGATAAGTTACAAAAGAGAATGATTGACAGTTCCCTTAAGAATTGGTTTACTTGGGGCCGGCCTTTGGCTCACTCAGGAGAGTGTGGTGCTGATAACACCAAGTCCCTGGGTTCGGATCCCATATAGGGATGGCCGGTTAGCTTACTGGGTGAGCGTGGTGCTGACAACACCAAGTCAAGGGTTAAGATCCCCTTACCAGTCATCTTTAAAAAAAAGAATTGGTTTACTTGGCAGTGAATTGTTTTTTCCTTCCCGTGGCATTTTAGTAAGGGTCTGCTGGGGATTGACAGTCTTTCTCAAATAGAAGCTGCTGTTCATTTTTTACTCTGCAAGAAAAATTTATTGTAACCTGTGGAAAAGAATGCACAGAAGTGATAGAGTGCCTCCAAAAAGACATCAGTAATTAATTAATTTGTAGATGTTTTAGTGAAAACAAAGCTGATGCTTACTGCCATGTATCATATTGATGTACAATAAATATTGATGACAATGGCAGCTTTTAACTCTTCAGATCACCTAAAACTGTTAATGAGAGGATTTAGAAGGATCACAAAACTTAAGTTCTATAGGTGTATTATTTATGGTAGCTAGCCATAGCATAGGTTGTGAATTGAGGAATAGTTTCTTTTAAAAAGCAAGAATGTCCAACATTGAAAGCTTATAGTTCTGTATCTGGACCCTGACAAGCGAGAAAAAAACCCAGGTTTTCCAAAGTTAAGAATAGGGGACTTGGGCCGGCCCGGTGGCGCACTGCTACAGTGCGCCGCTTGAGAGCACAGTGGCACTCCTGCCCAGGGTTCGAATCCCATATACAGACCGGCGGCTCACTGGCTGAGCGAGGTGCGGTCGCAACACCGAGGGTTGCGATCCCGTTGCCGGTCCCGGTCCGGTACGGGTGCGACACTGAGGGTTGCGATCCGTTGCCGGTCACGAAAAAAGACAAAAAGGACAAAAAAAAAAAAAAAGAATAGGGGACTAATTTAAGTGAGACTGAAACATAGCCAGAAACAAACACAAGAAAAGAAACATAGTCAAGTCTTTAAAAACAAACAAAATAATAAGTGTAAAAGTACAAAATTGTTTTCTTTAGTCTGCTTCTACATTCTAAATAATTAAAAATATATATGAGAAGCAAACCTGTATATAGAGCATCTATTGGAGTGAGATGCTTTTAAAGTAAACAAAATAATAAGTGTAAAAGTACAAAATTGTTTTCTTTAGTCTGCTTCTACATTCTAAACAATTAAAAATATATATGAGAAGCAAACCTGTATATAGAGCATCTATTGGAGTGAGATGCTTTTAAAGTGTGTGTGTGTGTGTGTGTGTGTGTTGCTTTTCTATTAGAGGAGCTCTCCCATTTGTTTACATGGAAAATACCTTTCTATTATCACAACAAAGCAATTTCTCAGTAGAAAATCTGGATTTCTGTCTCTTAGGTCATTGCCATTATGATTAAATTAATAATGTCCTGAATTTTGACATCCTTTCAGAACTTAGGTCTAGAATTTCAGAAATGTTAACTGCTGCTAATATTTGTTTGTTTTTAGGTGATGTTTGTCCTTTCTGTCCAGCCTTAAGAATAATAATAGCAAAATCACAGTATTTTGGTCAGTTGTTAGTTTTTAATCCCTCTTGCCCTTCTCCCACAACAGGTTTGAATTGATATTGTTACAGATGTCTAATACTCTGTGACAGTAAGGAGTACATGTTGAAGACAACTCTACAGTTCAGCCAACACAGCAGCACAGCCAAATAATTTCAGTTCAGTCAAAGAATTTAGAAAATCCCTTAGTAAAATGGAGTAACAGGATTTGACCATTCTGGAGCTTTACCTGTGCAATTAGCAAATTTTTGAATTATGTTCTGGTTTGTACCTGTCCCACCCACGCAAAGAGATGCTTTTAGTAGCCATTTGTTTTTTTGTAGAAAGCAAAAATGCGGGCCTGTATGGGCATTTGAATCCTTGATGTTGGTGTTATCAAAAACTGTGCTCTAACCAACTGAGCTAACTGGCCAGTCTTTAGTAGCCATTTGTAAAAACATTTAAGAGTTCATTAGAGTTTATGTTTCACTGTCTCTCCTGGGGTTGAGATCTGTCTATGCTTACATGTTGTTAAAATTTATTGGTTTTTGATATTTATAGGAATCAAACTTGGAACCAAAGCCCAATTTTACCAACAAAAAAGCTAATGTTTTCATTGCTTTCTTGCCCAAGGGCTTGGACTTAGTTCATTAGGTGATATTTTAAACACTATATTGACACAAAAATATCTTGCCTACTCTAAACTTTAGAGTCTAAATGAGACATTTTCTCATTGCTTATTGAAAAATACACAAAATTCTGAATATCTTAAAATGGTTATAATTTAATTGAAATATAGTGTGTATACTCTTGATGGTTAAAACTTACAACCTTACTTACTTATTTTTAAATTTGTTACAACTAGAGGAGTGGAATGTGCCGCTGTACTAGTAGACTAAGGAAAACATTTTAGAGGACTAAAGGAAATGGACCATTGAAAAGACTATATGTGACCAACTGGATAAGATTCAATCCCTGGTTAGCCCCACATAATAGTAGGGAGATCAGGATTAGGAGCCACACCTCTGTTTAAGAGCAAGGTCAGAACTGGGTTGTTTCTAGGAGAGGGTCACACATTCACCAAGGCTGAAAGAGCTGAGGAGTACATGGTAGCCCAGCTTAAAGCAAAAGCCTGAGTTGACCTACTCTGCAGCACTTCGTCTTCCATCTGAAATGAGTGACTGTAGAACTACCTGTGCCTCTGATGGTAATAAAACTGACAGGTATCTAGTTGATTTTTTTTTTTTAAATAGGACAAAAGTTTTCAAGGTAACATTTATATAATCTGACTTAGCTTTTAAACAATAGTAGATATTGAACTCAAAATTTGTTCTTAAATTCACAGTATGGTAAATGGTGAACTTTAAAAAGGTATCAGGTGTTAGATGAGTTAACTGGAGTATACTAATGCTAATTACTACATTTTAACAAGAACAGTAATTCTCTGCAGAGATATTGTTTTAGTAATTTGTCATTAAGGAACACATTGTCCCGGTCAGCCTTGATCTTAATTAAAAAGTGAGAAAAGGGCTGCAGTGCATTTCTTGGGAACTTAAGTTGCATCTTGAAGTTATAAAGATAAACTTAAGCTCTGTGATCCTTATTAATGTTCTTAATGAATTGTTTTCCTCCATGTATTGTTATATATGAGACACAGCTTCTCTTTGCATCAATGTAGAGATTACCTCATATACTTCTGAGGACCTGACTAGGAGTCTAGGACTCTGGACCAGGTTCTGAGACTATGGTACTAAATCCAGTAGATAGGCTAGGTGGTAA